AATAAATTGAACGAGAAAAGTCTCATCCACATTTATCCCTAAAGTTTTCAATTTCGCAACAAAATTAGTCATGTCAAGAACATGTTCATGCATACTACGAGTACCATCAAAACGCATAGTAGTGAGGTCAGCCATTAATTTCCCTGCAAGAGACTTATCTGCAGTACGGAAACGTTTTTCAATATTTTTCAAATATTCCTTAGCACTATTAGTTTAGGGAAGAGTTGTTTTGATATTGTTTGCAATAGTCATTCGCACGAACATAATACTCAATCTATTCGATTTTTCCCAAACTTTACGGATAGTCTTTTCTTCCTCACTGCTTTCACCAATAATAGCAGTAGGTTTCTCAATTTGAAATGTTAAATCAAGATCTAGAACACCTAAGTTGAACTAAACTTGCTCATTCTATTCTGAGAAGTTACTCCCATTGAGAATTGGAACAGATGAAGCATGTGAATTCACTAAAACAGGAAGAGATACTGCAATAAAATAATCATAATAAGGTAAATGCTCATAACATTAATACTTTGAGATAACAACACATATAAAAATAAATAAATACATCGTACAACTATGGTAACCCTTTGGGTAGTAACCACAAAATACAAAAAATGATGCTTAGATGTATTTATTTATATATTGCTTCATTGGTGATGCACTAATTAATTAAATATACAACTTACCTTTGGAAATCCTATATCTACCCAATTAAAAATTACATACAACCCCTTAATGTTTATTTAATTACTTGAAAATTAATTCCCTTTGAGAAATTATTTCTAATAATTGAATAAACTCAATATTCATAAATATTACAAAAATTAAGCATCATTATTCATGAAATATTGCAATTATGTTTACCACTAAAATTAATATCCATTAACCTTTATGGTTAGGCCGCTTTGGTAGCTCCCAACTTTTCTATAATATGAATATTAAATTACCTAGTGATAAATTTAATATTAAATTACCCACCACATTATGCACACATAATTTACTAAGACAATTAATTAAACTGCTAGTGGGTGTCTAAAATTTCATAGATACATGTACCCTAATGTATATTAATAAGCATATATTCAATGATGTACAAAACAAAAAAGACACAATTCCTTTTTTAGAATCTCGATTTGCGCAGCGAAATATTAATCAAAATTTTCATTCTGTAAAGCGATTGTGCACGAAATAGGAATACAGCCTAATAGCAAAACCAATCTCTTTTTGACTTTTTTTTTTTTTTTTTTTTGTCTCATTATGCTTATATATATTTAAGTTATATATATATATATATAATCGAACAAACACCAAGATTCGTTTTTCTAACTTTTTAAGTTAAACAAAGTCCGGAAAAAAAAAAGTTCATCATAGTCATCACAATACAATAAAGAGACAAAACTAATCACATTAAATATATATATATATATATAACAATAAGGAGACAAAACTGATCACATTAAATAGATCTGTATATATGCATGCAACTTTCATCTCGAAATTCGAAAATCAAGGCAAATAAATTGATCATTCTATAGATTCTAGACACTCATTCACAAACAGGTACACCAATTAAAAAAATTGATCTAGCAAGCGGATCTTGATTAAAGCAGTGTCCCAATATAATAAATTAAAATTATTTAATTTTAATTTAAACTTACACTTATTATTTATGCAAAGATAATTTATGCAAAGATAATGGAAAATAATGAGTTTCAAAATTACAGGTTCTGATATCACATGTAAACTCTAATTAATTTGTGTTAAACATTAATTATAAATTATCATAGATTCCTAAATCTTAGAATTTCAAATAATTTCACATCCTTATGATGCATAAATAAATATAGTTAGATATACATACCTCGATTCATGATATCAAACTTTGTTGAGATTAAATTCAACGTCCAGATCCTTTAATCATGAATTAATCTGCAACTCTGTGCAACTCTGATCAACAGGCAAAGGTGGAAACTGGTTTATCTCTTTTGGCCTTTTGCACACATAAAACTTTTACGTGTTGTATCATTAATTGTACATAATTGATGGAGTATATACACTTTTATAAAGGCAGAGAGAGGACCAGTTTTCCTTTTAGTAACATAATTCTACTTTCCATCAAAGTAAGAAATAAGAAAGGAAAATACTTCTCCAATAAGTAATTACTAAAAAGGTAATTATAAGTTAACCAAAAATAAACAATAATTAATTGATATTTATTTACTTAGCCACTAAGTAATATGTTACATGTCCAAATCATGTGGGCCACAATTAAATAAATAATCTTACAAATATATGTGTAGATGTGTAGCGTGATATTTGTGATGTTACAGAATCATCACTTGGTGTGGTGATGGGTATGTTTTAGAGAGAGAGAGAGAAAGGGGTGAGAATTTTAGAAACACAGATAGGGGAGATGAAGAAGATAAGGATATTTTTGTAATTTTATAAAAAATAATTTTCAGTTTAAAATTTAACATTAAATAGTAAGATCAAATTTGTCATTTCACAGTTCGGTTAACGGCTCATGTATAAATATTGGAGCAATGTGATCACTTTTTAAAATGTAAGGGGTTTTTTGAAATAGGTTGGAGGTTTATGATCAAAATTTGAAAATAATGAAGGTTTTTTGAAATTATCCTTTATTAAAAATACAAAGAGTTTTAGTACATAATTGTGTTTTAGTACATTATTTTTTATTTATATGTTTTAATGTAAATTTACCTTTTCGTTTTATTCAAATATTCTCTCTTTTTATATGTAGTCAGAGACACTTTGTTTTTTTCTTTTTGATTTTATCTTTGATTTTTTATTTACTTTTTCTATTCTGTTCTAATAATTTCTTTTTTTATATGTAGTCTGCAACACTAAATTTTTTTTTTCTTTTTGCTCAGTTTAGTAATTTACCTTTCTAATATAAATTTACCTTTTTATTTTTCACCTTTTCTATTCTATTATAGTAAAAAATATATATTTATATATATTTAGTCCGAGACACTATTTTTTTCTTTTTGATTTTACATTTTTATATTTTACATATTCTATTCTATTCTAATCATTTCTTTTATATGTAGTCGGAGACAATTTTGTTTTAAAAAAAAAAAAAATTAGAAAGAATATTAATGTAACTTTTTAAAAGTGCATAAATGATTAAATATCAATATTTTTAATAAAATTTGTTAAAATAGATTCAGTTATATATTTATTGTATTTTTTTTTTAATCCCATTTTATTATTTTTATTATTATTTGAAGTTTTAGTTCAGTTTAGCTTTGAACGGTTAATTTAAATTAGATTTTATTTTTAATTTCAAATTAGATTTTATTTTATATTTATCTTGCCCAATTTTACAAGTATATATATATATATTAAACTTTATGTTCATACAAATCCTAAAGTTAGCATAAACTTTATTAAAAAAAAAAAAAAAAAGTTAAATAATCACAATGTTGGTACATGGATATGGTGTTTACTAATTTTATTTATTTATTTTTTGAGTAGTTGGTTGGGGGGAGGAAAATGGGTTGGGCAAACTGGGAAGAAAAAAGGATAAAATTGAATTTTTATATTTATTTTTTTTGTCAAAAAGTAGTCCAACGGAGTTATTTGTGGTTGGTTGGGAGGAGGAAAATGGATTGGGCAAAATGGGAAGAAAATGGGATAAAATTGAATTTTTATATTTATTTTTTTGTCAAAAAGTAGTCCAACAGAGTTATTTGTGCTTTTTTTGAAAAGTAGGGACTGACATGCACCTTTCTTTAAAAATAAGGACTTACAGTGCTCTTGTTTGAAAAGGAAGGGGACATTGTGCACAAAACCTATGCAGTTTAAGTCTTTTACCCTATGATATAAAATTGGTGGGCTCTTGGAATCAAGTAATTAATATTTTCTCTATAATAATAATATTAATTAATAAAAACCAAAACGAAACAAGTAATCATTAGACTTCATTGCAATAAAAAATAAAAAATAAAAAAATAAAAAAAATAAAAAATAAAAACTGTAATTGCTAAGTAACATTGGTTTCATTCATGCCTTATAATGGTATGATTTCGCTCCAACATGAGAAGAGTTCTATCCATTAAGATTTGTATGGTGGTAACTAATTAAATTTTATTGCAATGATTTCTCTCTCCACCTATTTAGCATTTTAAGTAAACATTATATATCTAAAGGTTTAATATGATAAGTAGAAACCAAAGCTAAAGAATTTTCCAAGTTCTAATTTACCAGCTTCAAGTGGCCATAAATAAACAAGCATATTTATGACTGAAGCTTACTCAACTTAATGCTTAATTGTTTAAGATGATGAAAAATATATCTAGATCCATTTATCAAAAATATATATATATCTAGATCCGGACAAGTAAACTGATTTATGCATCTCTGTAACTAGTGCACCTAGATTAGATTCATTTTAAGGTTAGTTTATTTTCTATCCCATTCTACCTCGCTAGTCACTATTATCATTATACATTTGTGACAATTGTGTTCTTTTATGTAAATTAAATTTCTTTCGGACAAAAATATATTAAATGATTTATTTTTTGGGACTCAAACATGGCGAAATAGATCAAATTAGTACGAATGCATCCTTCAGTTTTAGCTTAATTTTCAATAATTTTTTCATTTCAAAATCAATTTTTAACTTTTTTTAATTTTTTTTTTTCATTCCTATTTTGTATGGGCAGTTATGCAATTTTATTACTACACTAACTGCTAAATGTTGGGAAGGGGTTATTTGCAAATATTTTATAATTCCGGGCAAATTTTTGAAGTTCATAGGGTTGCATGCAAATGCAGATAGATTTTTTTTTTTTTGATAAGTGCGAATGCAGATAGATAGTTGAAGGGTTTTATATTATTTTTATTTTCCCGCAGTTTGAACAAATTTAAATGATTATAGTACCATTATAATTGGAAGCTCAACTACAAATCTGCACCATGAAATATGTAGCAAGGTACCCTGAGAGGAAACTACAGATTGATATGTGGCATGATGGTTTACATACAAATTTCTTTGCTTCTGTATTCTGTTTCTTACCAATCTGAGTATTCAACTATGCTTTGATCAAGTCAACAAAATTCACTATCAACAAACAAATTTATTTTCATGCAGTGCTCATGAATACGTTTATGATATAACAAAAAGGACTGTTGATGGGCTACAAAGATACTAATTTCTTACAGATGTGGTGGATCTTTCACACACTGCGTGACATTTGGCAGCAGCCTGTGACTGGTTCGCTTCAACCCTCTCCTAGACCATCTTTTCACAAGGGCAACTTCCAGTTTCCTCACCTGTAATCATTTTTTCTCATCACACAAGTCCAATTTTGGGGGGGAAAACAAACCCTTCAATACATTAAGAGCAGGAATCAAAAGCCGTATTATTATTTGTTGTTCATGAGTTTTACATAAATCGACCCCATTTGCACTGCAAGAAACCAAATAATACGCCTTTTGAATGCACCATCATTCTGATCTGAACCGACCAAAAAGTACAGTAAGGAATAGGTACAACAGAGTATCCGGGTTCTGAATGCACCATCATTCATTATAGAATATATGCCATATGTAAATAATGAAAATATTGCATAATATTGGACTCTTCACCAATAGATTATAACTTACAGGACTTCAATGCTGTCATTACATGAAGCCCTTTAACCACTTTTTCGCAACAAAAAGTAGTCTAGTAGATAATAAGATGGATCCATTTCAGGTTCCCAAATTCAATTCCAGGAGACGACAAAACATGAAACACACAAACTTGTAATATGCAAAATGCACATGGCAATCCAATTAGAAAATTTGAGAGAGTAAACTTAGATCGTTTGGTAATGTGTCAATCAAACGAGGAAGACTAGTAGGTGAATTGGCATGTAATAGAAAAGCTTGGAGAGAGAGAGTTCATGTGGCTGACCCTACTCATATGGGATTAACGCAAGGATGATGATGACGACAACAACAACATGGTAATCCAGTAATTTTTGGGAGTCTTGCCTAACACTTCGTCAATGTGTCTGACACAACGAAATCAGTTAATGTCAACATTGTCAATTTGCCAGTATACCAAATGGTAGCAGAGCTTGTCAAAGATGATTTACATTAACAGTAAAAAAACTGATATATCAATATGCTAGTGGTATTTACAATAATGGGACAATTTCGACAATATCTCACAGATGTTGCCAAAGTTTTTGGAAAAAATCATGAATCTGTGCTATTCAAATTGAAAAACCTCCTACTACTACAAAATTCTCCACCGACAAGTTTGTATCTGTGCTAACGAAATAGGGAGGAGAAAATAAAGCCTATGTAGAGTGGTCTTGAGATACATTGTGGACATAGAGAGCATGTGGAGGAAAGTGGTGGAGGCAAATCTTGTGCTAGAACTAGAGGTTAGTCTTCCGGAGAGAGGGCTATGAGTGTAGAGAAGCTGTAGGAATCTGGATGTAACCAAATGCAAATTCATTTGTTGCTTAATAGTGATGGCGTCCATCAAGTTTCAAGGTCAGCACCATCAAAAAGAAACCTTTCTTATAATTGAGGGGTTAGATAAAAGGAACTGAGATAACTGCATCCTATATATAGAATGATGAACAATCATTTACTCCGTATTATGAATTCATCAAACATCAAATTCCTAGTTCTTAATATTCAGCCTCACAAGAGAAAAATGAGCACAATGTTACATTGGCACAAACTTGCAACCAAATTTGACATAATTTGCTGTCGCTATCTATCACTTCCTAAAAATTGGTCCAAGTATTTGAAATCTTTATTATATTTTTCCTACATATATATTTTAAAATTCTATAACAAAAAGGCCACGTTTCAGTGTCCAAGACATGCCACAAAATGTCCAGCAATTTGCACAAAATATATTATTCATGTTCAAATGTAGAGACCAAATTTTATAACATGGATAAATCTAAGTTTTGGACAGGTTAGCAGGTGTCAAGAAGTATCATCTTTTCCTCTTCCAGCAGTAGCACATAGTATTTTGTCCCATGCTGAAATAATGTCCTGAACTAAATATTAGGTATTGGGTCATCTAAATTGACATTTTACAGTGCATGGTTATATATGGAGTTCAAATTAAATAGAATATGAAATTTCTGTTAAATTTCATGGGGCAGCTGGTTCTACCTTCCTTCATGTCAGGTTGCTCAATAGGGATCATCATTTATTTGGTATACTAGTAATACAGGACAAATAGTGCTTAGATGTGAACCAGAAAGAACGAAGGGGGATGAGAATGAGAAGATGAGATGAGACTAGACAAAGGGGATGAGAAGATAGAATGAAGGGGGTAGGCTGGAAAGACCGAGAAATTGAGAAAAGCAAGAACCCGAGGGAGAAGAAGACGCGGAAGGAGAGTTCTTCAAACTCATAATATTATTCAATAATCCAAAGCTGATTGGGTTGTTTACATCGTAGCCTCTATATAGGCAAAACATAAACAAACCCTAAAACAATAAAGACTAAAATATCCCTAAAATTAAAGCATTTCTAAAAATAACCATAAGCATAAATAAAAACTACTAATTTACTACAATTCCTAATTCTATCTTTCTTTTCCCCTTCTCCAATGATAAGTGCGGGTCATATATGCTTCTAGCTCATGAGTCATGCCTTGTTCTCCATCAACTAGGACCTTGACTCATGTAAAATGGTGGAATGGTTTTTTTTTCGTGCGTGTCGTTGTTGTTACAGCTGGGAGTTGACAAGGATTTATGGCAAGAAATGGTGCAGGATGTTAATTCAGTGGTACAGGCATTCCAAATATTCCTTCTATCCATTTTCAATGTTCTTCAATGTGCTTACCTTTTTTCTTATTTTTTGTAATGTTCCTTCCCTTTTTTTATGGTTCAAATGAACTAATGCAAGGACGGCACTTTATCGATTCCTCTTAATCATGTGACAGAATTCTTAGACCAAGTTGCTTTACCAAGCAATGGATGAAAACTATGAAGGATAATAAATGAATTAGATAATTTGATTATTGGAACAGAACTAACTTTTGGAAAACATTATATACACACATTATCAGGATATTATCCATAAAGTCAACTCCATAGTATAAATGGTAAAAGCTCAATTTATCATGCATGGGAATTGAGAATGGTAAAAGCTCAATTTATCATGAGTGGGAATTGAGAATAGTAAAAGCTCAGTTTATCATGAATGGAAATTGAGAATGAGGATTCGAGTGGAAGGCAACTACTTTCTACAAATAAAATCAAAGTCAAGTAAAAAGCCAATCTACCCTTACAACATCCCAAATCAGCCGGATAAAGTTATCTATGCTTCATAAAAGGAAAATAAAGTTAAGGATGACCAACCTGCTTAACGATGAAAGGCTCCTCAGCAAGACTCAGTGGCTCAGTTAAAACAGTTAGAAAACCATTTCGGTTACCATAAACAATGTCTGTGAAGGGCCGATCACCCACCTGCCACAAGCATAATCAATTTCTTCACCTAATTGAAAATCATAAACAAAACACACTGTATGAGCTTTTCTTCTTATCTACCATGATAAGTCTTGAGGATTCAAAACCAAAGTGCTTCTCAATTTCTTCAGCTGTTCCAGCTGGCTTCTTCACCCCTAAAATTTCAGAAACACACTCACAAAATCAGTTTAGGTTAAAACTTCCATAGTCGGCATACAGTAATAGTATACTGTTATTTAAACAAAGAACTTGAGACAAAAATGTAAACTATTAGATCCAATTTAAGCACAAGTATCTACATATATATATCTATGTGTAGAGAGAGAGATGGAGATAAAAGTATATCTAAAATAGTTGCAGGCTATGCAATTTTACAAGCAAAATAAAAGGTCAAATTGAGAAATAAAGACTCACCATGCCTTATTACTTGAATTCCAATTGCACCCTCGAGAGCTCTCGCTTTCCAACCATCAGGATCATATTCATTAAGCCCTAATACAAAAGGTAAGAACAGATGACATTAACACCACCACCACCACAAATGATAACAAAAGCAACACTAAAATAAAAGAGTGGGATCAGAATTACCTGCAGAGTTGCTAAACACGGCAATTTCATTACCAAACACGGATTTACACCGTTCGAGAGAAGAGCGAAGAGGAGGCCACAAAGTTAAGGAGTAAGGAACAGTAATGGTGTTGTCCTTGTCAAAGACGACACCTTGAAAACCCTTTGCCTTCAATTCAGGCCAATCAATGTAGCTAATATCGGGCACAGAGATGTGGGGAAGCGCCAAATGGCGGTCCCTGGCCACCACAGCGACCGAAGAGACAATGCCCTCCAAGTTAATTCTCTGGCCTAAGGCTGCTTTCAAGTCTGCCCACCACATGTTTGTTGAAATGGCCTCCCTGTTGTGGAACTCTTGGGACGTTTCTTCTTTAGCTTCTTGGTTTCGTATGAATTGGGTTTGCTTGTTGGTATCAGTGGAAGAGTACAAATGCTCTAAAAATGCATGATTTTGATGTGGGTGTGAATCTTTCTTCTTCTTCTGGTCTTTACTGCAACTGTTTGTTGCTGTGAGGGTTAGGAAACAGTTGTTGTTTCTGGTGAAGTGGGTATGAATTCTCTTGGAAGGCGAAGAAGAGGCATTGATTGTCCTCTTGTGGGGAAGAAGAAGATTATTGAATTTGTGGGGGTAGTGAACTTGAATTTGTGCAGAGATGGGACAATGATAGCAGGCGACGTGCCACGAAGAACACGAGTTGGACTGCAGCATTCTTTCCAATTTGCTTTTTCTATTTAGTACTACTTTACTTACTCACCACCCAATCCCTACTATTTTATTTTATTTTTGAAAGAGTTTTAAACCTTATTTATAAAATAAAATAAAAATACTAATCTCTCCTAAAATTTGGTCTAATTACACTCAAATGAAACTTTTTAAAAATCTTATGCTCTTTTTCCTTGACATCAATATTTCTTTGGGTAAATTACACTAAGACCTCCTGAGGTTGGGTCATATTCCAGGTAGATGAAGATTTTGGTTTTAATTTTCACTTATATGTGAATTAGTGATTTAGTATTTCACTTACACCCTAATTTACTTTTTACCTGCTAATTGACCATTTTACCCTCAAATTTTTAATATAAAATATATATAATCTTAAAAGACAAAAAACCCCCCTATCTCTCTCTCTCTCTCTCCTCTATATATATATATATATATATAGATACACTATTTAAGTCCATAACAACCACCACCTTCAACCAAACCGGCACTGCTCCTCCACCCATCAATCACCCAAAACTTCCACAATCACCACTCATCTAGTCATCCTCGTCGTAAAGCCAACCCCAGTTTTTTTTTTTTTTTTAAAAATACCCATCAAGTTTTTTTGCCAACCCAAACCCAATTTCTCAACACTACCACCACCCCACCCTGTCGTCTAGACCCACTGCCCCTCACCGTTCCTCCACCTCTTTGCCAAGCAACGCTACCTTTCAATCCCACCAAGGTAACAGTCTTCCAAGCTCCAACCATCGTTGACATCACACTGCGAACCAACCTTGTCACCACCGCCGGCCAGATCCATCAACGCCGAGTCCCCTTTTACTCACTCGCCGGAATCCTCTCTGGTCCGAGGATCGGACTTTGCTCGCCGTCCCTTAACGCTGCCAGAACCGTGATTGCGAACCGCCATCACCGACGTCTCTCCATGTTGTGCCTCGCTGTCCCGTGTACTTGCCGATTCGAAGTACAACGCCCCAAATTCCCAACGGCATCCACCATCGCCGCTGTGCACTACCACCTCTTCTATCTTCGCAGTGCCGTCTGAGTCCTTTCTGGCCTGTTCAAACTCGCCGGAGGTGTCCGTGAATAACTCGCAGCGATGCTCAGAAGGATCGATGGCAGAGAGCTCGGATGGTGGAGAAATGGGTGTTGGGAAACGTGCAAGTTTTAAAAACTTTTCAAGGGATTTTGATTCATAGATCTTGATTCATCACATAGAGACAAGTTTTATACAAAAATAAAAATATGATGTATCATTCAATTAATTGATTGAATACTTACATCAAAAGTCTGAGTAAACCTTTAAATCTTTCCTCTAAAGTAAATGTTCTCACTTATTGTAGATCCCTTAGCAAGATGCCTTCTCCTTGGATCTCCATCTTCTTGGTAATTGTTTTGCCTTTAGGAATCACTCATAAGCCTCCATGAATGACCTTGAAAAACTAGGCTTGTGGGAGCCTCCATTAGATGAGAATATAAACCCTAATTTTCTAGAGAGAGAAAATAAATTCCTTTTTCCTTCTTCTAAAAATCACACCTAAAAATATACATAGACCATGTATATTTATAGGCAACATAAAGATAAAGAAAAGGAAACAACAAATCCTTCTCAATCTCTAATTCACATGTCTCAAATCTAATATGATTCCAATATCAAGTTGGGCTATGAATGGGAATCCATTGGGCCTATTATTTTATTGGATACAATGAATTAATAATTAGCCCGGTCCATGGACCCAATTCAATTAATTCATAAATTAATTTCTACTCCACTAAAAGAAATTAATTGAGCTCCAATTAAATAATAAATGACCTCTAAGTCAATATTACACTTTGACCCCTCTATGCAAAATTAGTTATCGGATAAATAAAGCCATCAATTCGACTACTTAATTAATATATTTATTTTGGTACCTTTGATTATTTCTGGCTCGATCACAATAAAATATTTGTTTGACAAAAATAATAATTTAAATAAATAAATATATAATAAATCATTTTGTCTAAAAACACACGAAGGCCTTCGAATTTACTTTGTGATCAACCATAATCAATACAAAATAAATACAAGTAACAATGATGCAAATATTGAAAATATAACCCTCTAACTATTAATTACATAACTACCCAAAGTATCGGTCTAAGGATCCCGAAAAATCCGCCGAACAAATCAAAGTAATTATTAATTAATAAAAGAGTCTATAATTTTCTCATGCTTAAGAGTCAAATGCCATGACGGTGATAGGGAGCAATTGCATACGACGGCTCTCGCAATATATCTCAACCTAACGCGGATCCAGTTCAAATCTTAATTAATTATGAGTTCATCCATAATTACCGACTATGAACCATTTATGATTACTATTTATATATCATGCATTGATTGCCATCACATACATATATATAAATATTTCTTGTAATCAAATGGACACTATTAATTCTATAATGAATCGAAATATAATACATTGAATTCACCAATTGTATAAAACATAAATATTTCAGAAACGTCAGGAACATATGTTACTTTAATCTAAACAGGAATTTGCTATACCAGGGCATATAAATCCCAACAACTCCCACTTGCCCTCATAGCCAATTCAAATTGCACCTAACTCCAATGTTATCCAGATGATGATTGATCAATGACACCTTTGATAATGGATCAACAAAGTTGTGTTTCAATGCAATGTTCTAGCTACAAGTACATTTTCTTGCCGGACAATATCATGTAGAACATGATTCTTCCTCTCAGTGTATCTTGTTCCTCTATAGAACCTTGGGTCATTGGTTTGGACTACTTCTGCACTATTATCGCAACATAGCTCAATAGGCAGGCTAGTATACTCCACAACCTCTAAATCAGTGAGATCAAACCAATAGGCTTCCTTTGCCGCCTTTAAGGCTGCAATATATTCCACCTGCAGGTTTGAGTCAGCAATTGAAATCTGCTTAACAATCTACCAACTGATTTCCCTTTCATTAAGTGAACATACACTAAGTCATGAACCTCATAGTATCTACTTCTGATTGAAAATCAGAATTAGCATACCTGACTAGGACCATATCATCACATCCATAAATGAGTATGATATCATTGGTTCTTCTTAGGTACTTAATAATATTTTTCACAACAGACCAGCTATCAAGTCCAGAATTGGACTGATATCTATTGACTATCCCTACTATGTAGCAGATGTCCTGTTTGGTATAGACCATGGCATATATGAGACTCCCATATGCCAAAGCATATAGTTCCAGTCTCATTTGCTCAATCTCCTCTGCTAGTCTTGGAAAACTACTTACTAGAGAGAGCAATCCATATAAATAAAGCAAGAACTCATTCTTTGAGTTATACAAACCAAACCTGGTCAAAACTTTTCCAATGTAGGATTTTTAAGATAAGCCTATTTTCCTTTTAACCTGATCTTGCAAAAACTTGATCCTAGGAATATAGCTTACATCTTAAAAATCCTTCATTTAAAAGTAATTGAACAACTACCTCTTTATCTATGACAAAACTTCCACATCATTCTAAATGAGTAGGATGTCATATATAAATATAGAGTCAGAAAAATAATGACATTCCCTTGTACACTCATGATTTATTCACTAAAAAATCTTCTGGTATCTTTTTGTAGATTAACTTGCCTTCCATAGGAATCACCCTACTAGAAAGTTCTACAAGATCCCAGAATTTATTAGAATACATAGATTCCAACTCTGATTTCATAGTAACTCGCCAAAACGATCTGTATCCATATCGGTTCACGCTTCCGTGTAGCTTACTGGGTCCAACTCATGTTTAACAGGGATGTCCATAATGGTCTCACCTAAAAACATGATTCTGTCGGATTGGATAATAATCCTCCCACTACATTAATGTACCGATGCAGGAATCTGTGTACTAGATGATGCTGACGCATCAATAGGGAATTCATTCATTATTCTCAATCTCTATTATAATAAGTGTGTTCATATGTGGTACATCTGGTACTCATTCCATATTCTCTAACACTATGCTACTAGGTATATGATTCATAATATGATTCTCCTATAGATAAACAGTGAGTGTAAACAATCAACTTTTATTATTGAGATCATAAAATAATCCGTCCTAGTGACCTTTAGAGTAGCTATCAAATCTATCATGCGTATGATCTGTTTCCAACTTACTTGTCCATATCAAGCGCACATGTGCAAGACTACCCCATATGTGCATGTGATTCAAACTAAGATTTAGTCAAAAACACAGCTCAACGGTATCCTTGCGACAGAGTAAGATGGAATGCAGTTCATAATGCGCATCGATGTCATTAACGCTAAACTCTTAAATGAAAGAGATAATGTGGCATAACTGATCATAGATCTAACCATGTTAAGTGGAATTCTGTTATTCCTATTTGACACCTAAATGCATTTAGCGTCAATTGCGGAAAACTGGTACACAATACCCTTATTGACCATATAGTCTTTGCACTATCCCAAGAAATACTCATATCCTCGATCAGATCGAAGTGTCTTGATAAGTTTACCTAATCTGTGCTCCACATCAGTCTTGACCCTCTCGGAATATACCAAAAGTATAAGACTTGTGTCGCAATAGGTAAATTTATCCAAAACGTGAGTAATCTTGCTTGGATGTTCATAAGACCACACGTGTCAGTGTGTACCGACTCCAATTGTCCTTTATGTCTATTTCATCTGGCTGATTAAGCCCTAAGAGTTATCTATCCTTCAAAACAGGGTTCACAAGTTTGGTTTAGGCTCCTCTGCCTCACTAGGTAATTAACCTTCTTTGACCAATCTTTGAATCTCATTTTGACTGATTACAACCCAAAAATAGACGCTAAAAATACAATGAGTCAGGAATAACAATTTTTCTCTTAACATTCAATCTAGAAGATGCAACATTAGTTTCTACATCCTGCAAATCTTAAGAGTTTGTGATTATAGTATATTAACCATCTTTCAATGCACCAGAAGCAATCGCATATCTATTCAATTTTATAAAACCAGTTTTACTAAATAACAACACAG